TTTGGAACTAAAGAATTAGAACTTCATTTCATTCAAACTGATCGTTCAACGGTGCGCAGCGCAAAGTTTAAAAGAGAGTTAAGAAATTGCTTAGCTCCCTATAGAGAGGTTTTAGTGGAGTTAGAAAAAAAAAGCTACAATCGAAAACCAATGTGAAGATGAACTAAGTGATGAAGACATTTTGCCCATTAAAAGAAGACGAGTTAGGCGACTTATATCTTCATTGATTTTGTTGAAAAACAGCCTTCTAGTTTAGTTCTTATTTCATTTTTATTATCAATCCTTATATGAACTCTTCAATTCAATTCAATAAAAAGAATTTATAATTTATCTTGTCTTTTGTATTTATTGGTCTCTATAAAACGCGGTACGAATGATGTGATTTGTACTAATTCCGAGTTTCTTATAGCGCGGTTTCCATACAACGCGGTACGCACTCACCGCGTTATAGGAGGGTTGACTGTACATATTTACTATTAAGTTATAAATTAAGAGAAATTTACGTGCTGAATTTATGTTTCTGTTTCTCTTTAATATCTATATTCTTCACAGTAATATTTTTATTGTTATACGTGAATATTTTTTATATTATTTTCTTGTTTAATTCATGCAATTTTTCAATACTTTTCACACCCTAAACCGCTCTACTTAATCAATATTGTTTAAACTCGTTTTTTCTTGCTTGAGATCCGTCGAGCGGAATTTAGAGAATTTTTGGACAACAGAGAGAAGGAGTCAGTGTTATTGCATGTATTCCCTGGACAAAATACTTTCGGGGTCCTGTGTTATATTAACTTTGTCATCCTGTCTCCCTATATTAAAACGTTCATTATATATAAAAACAAACGAGTCTTGTAGAAAATATAACACATATGTTAATAACATTACATAATAAATATGCAAATTTAGAACATAATTTAATTATACACTTTATTTTTACAATTTATTTTATTAATTATCAGTTTTTTTTTTACCTTTATACAGTCAAGTCTGTTTTTGTGAAGTTTATTTTTGTTGTGTATTTAATTCCTCGATTAGTCCGGTTTCAAAAAGTCCGGGATATTTATACGGTAATAACTATCTACATAACATGTTTACTTATCATTTATTTAGTTTATTATATAAACTTAGTACATAAAATGATGTTAGTTTGAACTGAAGTTTTTTAAACTTGCCTGATTCTTGAGCTGCGACCTCTGGCAAATATCGATGAATTGAAGGATCTGCTTGGTCGTGGGATCTTCGAATTCGTCGACGGGAATCAGAGTCCACTCGATCTTGCTGTATCCTTCCATCGGCGGCGTCTTCTCCGGAGAGAGCGTGACCAGATGCCGGATGCCCACATCGTAGAGGTAATCCAAGTTGAGTGTGTTCTGTGGCCACGCCATCACCGCAAGTTCATCATCGACGACCCAGGAGAAGTTCCACGGCGGATACGGCTCTGGGTCACCGGTCTCCAATAGCAGCAGGTCATCCAACTCCTCCGACATTTCAATTGATAGAGACGTTTGAGACGAGAGTGCAGTTAATTCGGGATCGATCCGACGACGACTAAGCCAAAAATACGGGCGGGCCGGACCCGCATACAGTAAATATGGTCAAAAACGATGCGATAACTATTTTGAGTTTCGGCCAAACGATTGCAAAATCCTACGAAACACAGTTAAATCCACGGATGACGATTCACGTTTTAACCCAGAAATTCATATATATTTTATTCGCGACTAAATTGTTCCACACAAAGTAAATAAGTTATTGAACACCTTTAGTGCATTTACAAAGTTCGAGCTATAAATCTCCAAACACGTTTCAAGATTGACTTAAATTCGATTTAGTGTCGGCAAGTGTGGAAAAGAAAAGAAAAAGTATTTCGTTTTAAAATGTTGATAAGGCAAAGCGAAACAAATCGCGTTCTATTTTCAATTGCATTATTTATATTTTGGTTGCTGTTTCCTTGTTGCTGCTTGAATTGTTCATCTATATTTAATTCGGGCGGAAGCGTTGGAAGATGTTCAATAATTTGCCACCACACTCTCACTACATTCGCATACTTGCAATGCGTCTTTACAAATCGGATATTATTATAATTATTTTCAGCACTATAAAGGTGAAAGTTATTATTTTTTTTTAATTATTAATATTAAAACAATGAAATTAATTGAGAATCTGTTACCAAAATACTTGTGTAAGAAAATGTTATGTAGTAAAATGTCTTAATTTATGGAGACAATCATATTTGCCACGCACAAACAAATGCTAATGATCTAACTAAATTATAATGGTACGGAAACTCATTTAACAGACAAACCTGGAACATGGTTTTAATTCAAATTTCGTATGCATATTCGAAGGAAATAATTCAATGTGCAGGAACGCACCGGACACATCTGAATTGCAAATAAAACGTTCGGATTTCGGCTCGTAATTCGAACCCTAAATGATCATTTTCTAAATTAATTCATAACGTTTAATTTCAAAACTGATTTCACGTAAGAAGTTTACTTAAAACAGGTTTATAATAAAGTGTAAGTTAATTTAGATTATAGCTATTTATTTAACAATAGTGTTAATGTAATATGTTTCGTAGACTTGTGTAGATAGATAGTAGACCAGCGTTTTTCAACCTATAGAGCGGGGATACCAAAGCCGCTTGTTATTTTTTTCAAATCCCTACTCAAAAAAAGATCAGATGACCATTGCCAACTGTAAAAATATTACACACACACCCAGACGCATTTTGACAAATACTGACACACGTACACACATATATATTTATATATATATATATATATATATAAAATAGATACAAAATAAATTCAGAATTAACAATAAACAAAGTTTATTACACAATTACAGTACAACACAATACAAAAGGCTATTTGTTATTGTTCTCTTGATGCAACTGCAACTCATCAGTCCTTTCGACGCAAAAAATAGAGATTATTTGAATTCTCGGCGATCCTTAACAAGTTTATTTATTCTTTCTTGCATATAATAATATTTGTTGCTGCAGCATATCTCCCTCGTGGACAACTTCTGTTTTATGTTTTACTATATTATTTATACAACTTAAATATTAATATAAAAAAAAATATGTGCAGCATGCTCCAGTGTACCTTGTTTATATGTATAATGTATATTACTTGCTTACTTGCTGCTACTGTTCGTCTGCAATCTTCTCAATGTCAGAAAATTGATGTAAATATTTAACTTCGTAGGTCGAAATTGGTCGAAATCTTTTTAGAAATCTTTAATGAAAGTTTTCTTTTTCAATTGTCAATAACAAATTTGAAAAAACACTACCACCAACACACTACCATTGATTCCGATTTCATCCAAAATATCTTCTTGTCCTAGCGTTGTGCCAACTGGATCGTACCAACTGTCCTCGAAAAACTATATTCAATTTACC